AGTCTCAGAATTGCCCCAGATTGGGTAAAAATTTTCCAAGTACTTTAAAATGCCATATGCCAAGTTTCGTCGCGATCCAACATGTTTAAGGCAGTGCAGACAAAGAAACAATTTCGAAAAAATCGACCTCAACCATCCCGAAACAGACCATGTAACTAGAACTCTATTCTCAATGCATCAAACAGTTGTGGTACCACCGTCGTTGAATCCAGAACGGTCAAAAACCCCTATGGGTCAAATTTCGGCTTAAACGGACTTTCCAGGACAAAGTTATGGGTGAAACATTTAAAAGGGGTAGGTCGCACGCTATTCCCGTGTGACCTCCCTGCACCAATCTCCATTAAAGGAGGTTGATGTGCACAGTCCCGGTCAGCAACTTCAAAGGCCCATATCTCACTCGCTCTGAGTCGAATCGCTCTCAAATTTGGTGAGCATGTTCGTCTCATCAAGACGAGCGTTTTGATATGTGGCACGACCCGTGATAAATGTCCGAACAGGGAGAAAAACTAGAGAAAAGTTGTCGATCCATGAAGAAAGTTGCAAAAAAATAAATAGCAGCATGCCTCGCACGAGCGACCATATCACGACGCTCGCATACCAGATCGACGCGAAACCAGTTGCATTATATGCGTAAGGTTCAAGGCTATCTCTAGCCCAAACCCCACGTACAATGAACGGTTGGATTTCACACACGGAGGCATCAAAGCTGTTGTAAATTCCGGCCACCGGATTTCAAAATTCCGGCCAAAAACCCAAATCGACAAAATCTTCGTCCAGACACGAAATCAAGCTGTGTTTGTTGTCACGCGATCCTGACGGCATGCTTAGTGTGATACAACGAAGAAACTAAAAAAAAAAAATCAAGAAATAAGCCCACTTCGATATCAAGTTTTCAAGATTCATCCAAATTTTTAATCGCATGATCGTGCCTTAAAAACACCATCCATGGCGAAGTTGATATCAAATCGATCGCCATGACAAGCCCTACAAGAAAACAATCATCTTTCAGTCAAACAGGCACCAGAGCAACCCCGAAGCTTCTACGGAAGATCACGCAAGTTCCAGGGGAGCAGTAGAGACTGTTTTAGAATTTCACACATTGTTGGGCAGGGACAAAATAGTCCTTTTGCACCCGATTCTAGAATTTCTTTTAATTTAATTAAATTGTAATTATCATCAATTTAAATAGTTTTTTAGCATCCACCCATGTTTAGGCCCAATTCTATAAGTACATGCTAAACACAATTGTTATAGAACCCTTGGTTATTCAATACTCATCAATAAAATTTGAGAGTTTTCACGTTAAAATTGTGAGCATGTCTTGAAGAGAAAAAAAAAGGTCTGATACCCTTTGGTGAAGGTAATTTTCTCTCTCCTCTCATCTCTCTCTTTCTCTCTCCTCTCATCTCTCTCTTCTCTCATTCTTTTGTCATGGATGGCGGAAGCACATCGCCGCCCATGTCTTCTCTCGCTTCTCTCATTCTTTTGTCATGGATAGCAGAAGCACATCGCCGCCCATATCTTCTCTCTCTTCTCTCATTCTTTGTCATGGACGGCGAAAGCACATCGTCGCCCATGTCTTCTCTCTCTTCTCTCATTCTTCTGTCATGGACGGCATAAGCATATCGTCGTCCATGTCTTCTCTCTCTTCTCTCATTCTTTTGTCACGGATGGCAGAAGCACATTGCCGCCTGTGTTTTCTCTCTCTTCATACCCTTTTGTCATGGCCAGTAGGAGCTCACCGCCATCCATGTTCGTTCTTATCTTTTCTCTCATCGTCGCTCATGTTTCCTTGCTCTCTTCTCTCTTTCTTCTTCATTTCTTTCCTTCTCCCTTTCCTCTTTCCCTTTTTCCTTTCTTCCTCATTGCTCATCTCATTGTCTTTTCGCATGCACGACATCGATAGTACTGTGCATGTTTCTCTTTCTCTCCTTTCTTCTCTCTCTCCTTTCTTCTCTCTCTCCTTTGACCAAGAGAGGCTGAGACAAATATTGTCATGGTCGTCTTGTCGTCTAGCAGTATTGTCCCTGAACCGATCTTAATTACTGTGCCCGCCTTACTGCCACGATAGGCTAGCCATTGTGCCAGGCTAGCCGATGATGGTTCGAGCATCTAGTAGTATTTTTGTTGTGCCAGTCTTGTTATCGTGCCCGTCTTGCTACCACACCGGGACAATCACTGGCTGATCTAGCTGTTGCATTAGTCTCGTCACCTAGTCAAACTTCTTTTGATCTACCTCTTCTTCTTTTACGTCCCCTCTTACCCTTTTCTTCTTTTGGATGTGCACATCCGTGTACATTCGCTCAAAGATAAGGTGGGGTTTCCTTCGGCCCACTTGTCTTGTAAATTAACCATGCATGTGTGATTGCAGCAACAGAAGAATACATGCCAAGGAAAGCGATTCTGAGCCAGTTCTACGAGCCAGCCCGAGTAAGTCCCGAGCCCACCTTAAATTCCTCTCTCAACGGTTGGTCTACCTGCCCTCGCTCCTGAGCGAGGTTCCCGATAGAGCGATCTCAAAGTGCTGGATTCCTCGAAACCCGAGACGCATGCCGTCCGATCATCCAGATCTGGAGGGCGAAATCGAGGCACCTAACCAGATAGAAGTTAACTGTATTTCAGTAAGAAGAGTCAATACATTGATTTTTAAACCGAGGGTGCCTAAGCAGTGGGACACCTCGGAATCTGTTGTCAGCCTACTCTATTCAAAAAATAAGAGTACAACCCGCCCTAGATGATACAAGATACACAATGATTTTACAAAAAATAGGGTTAGGTTGACATGCACTAAACACCGAAACGTCAATCATATGTACCGAAATTTCCAAAATTTCAGTAGCCTTTCAATATTATAATCAATACTATACGTTTCAAAACTTCATAGTCAAGAGCCCTAACGCGTATATGGATAAATTAAGGAAAATTTAAGCCGAATAACAATTACATATATTATATATTATATATTATATATCGTATATCATATATTACATATTATATACTATATATTATATGTTATATATTATTTATTATATATTATATGCTATATATTACATAATATTATATATTATATATTACATAGTATATATTATATAGTATGTTACACGTTATATATTATTTATTATATATTATATGTTATATATTACATAATATATAGTATATATATTATATAATATATTTCCTTATATTAATAAAAAAAGAAGATAAAAATCATAAGATCATCTTATCTTATATTATATAATGTAATGAAATTAAAATTTAAAAAAAAATCAAAAATCCTAAAAAAATTTAAAAAGGTAAAATGAAAAATTATAATACATACATAAGAACTTATATTATGTTATTTATTTGGTGCTCTATTCATATGATCATTTTTCGGATTTTCTACTCCTGTAGGTACATACTGTACATGTGATTTTAAAATGCTCTTACTACATTTAAAAGGAGCTACTTTAAAAATAAATATATATTTCAAATATCTAATTATTATGTTATTTTACTTAAATACATTTTGATGTAAAAAAAAATTTTCTAAACGTCCATTATGACCGTTGTCCCTGATGGCCTAACAAAACAATAGGCGCTATATAATCTACCATTACATTGTCTTTTGCATGGCACCACCTCATGCGCTAAACACAGACATTTCAATCATATATACCAAAATTTCACTCAATTTCAGTAGCCTTTCAATATTATACGTCTCAAAACTTCGTAGTCAAGCCATAACATGTATATGGATAAATTAAGGAAATTTAGTCCAAATAATAATTACATATATAATATATAATATTATATTATATTATATAATGTAATGAAATGAAAAAAATAAAAAAATCCAAACTAATTTAAAAATTACAAAAAGTAATATTAAAACTATAATACATGTAGAAGATAGTATATTATGTTATCTATAACTTTGGTGCTCTATTCATATAAACCATTTTTCGGATTTTCTACTCCTGTGGGTACATATTGCACATGCGACGTATTAAATTTAAACCCTCTTGTAAATAATAAAATTTTACTATATTTGTAAATTCTATTTAAAAATTACTATGAAAAGCACCTAATACATTCAGCAAGAGCTTTTTTAAAAATAAATATAATTTTTAAAGTTGTTAACTTTTTTTTGAACTTCCATTACAACCGCTGCCCCAAACAGCCTAAAAAATTAATAGGCGCAATATGACCTACCATTGCATCGTCTTTTGCAAGATACACCACCTCATGAGCTAAACACCGAAATTTTAATTTTATCTACCAAAATTTCACTGAATTTCAGTAGCCTTTCAATATTGTACATCAAAACTTCATAGTCAAGCCCTAACGTGTATATGAATAAATTAAGGAAAATTTCATCCGAAATATTATAATTTAAGTAATGGTAGATCATCATATTCATAAAAATAGATATACCTCTGATTAAATTGCGTATATGAGCATACTATGAGCAATTTAATCAAATGATCATAGTAAGTTATATATTAACAATTTATGCTAATATTTTAAGTTCTGTGCATAGATTATTTTAAGTCATATTTAATCTATATGAATATGTATGGCCAATCACAATAATATGCAAAGCACGTGCCTCTGCTAGTTATAATTAAATGCTATGAATATACAATCAAATACTTATTTGTATAAGAATTACTATAATCATAATTTTAAAACTGCTTACATTTCATTGTCAAATATTTAGTATCACATGCATATTACTAGTCATCCAAAAAGAGAGAGAAAATACATGAATCCAAAACTCCCTAGACGTGTTTGATTTCTAGACGACGCGGCTTTAGAAACCGCATCTTCCAGGGAAGTGGATAACCCAAGTTCCATGATCATGGAAATGGTGGTATCCACTTTTTAGCATTAAATATAAGGCAAGTGGATACCGCTGTATCCACTTTACCATAAAATTCCCAGTTATCAACCAAGGAAGGGCTACAGTACTTCCAGAAATCAAACACAACCCAAATGATCACGAATTTTATAAATACCTTAGGAGAGCCAAACAAAGGAACAGTTCCAACTTTAAGGCCAGGAACAAAACCAACGGTAATCAGTAGACCACGGTTTACAAGTTCATTTGTATCCACACTATCATGATCCCATAGAACCTGAAGAAAAATTCAATAGCATCAATCCACTTAAACTTTTAATCTGAATCACCTCCATGGATCAATAAAAAGTATTGGATAACAACAATAGTGAAAAGCAGAGCCGGGAAGAGGGAGAGAGAACCTCCTCAACTTCATCACCGGTAGCATTTGTGCCAAGAAGACCCAAAGAAAAACATGTAACCAGCGGAACTGTGCCACCAAATTGAGACCTTAACTGCAGAACATGTTCCAATTAAAACAAATCAATATAAGAGAAGAATAAAGGGATATGTTTCATTCTTCATTTAGTAATGAAATATGTTCATTCATTATACAAGTGCATATCACATCCACGATAATTCTACGCAGTTATAACTACTAAATGGAAAAGAATCAGACATACGAGATTGTGTGTCTTCTCTAACGAAGAAGGAAAGCCAGTGAAAGCCATCACAAAGTGTGGTCGTATTGGTTCAGAGAGAACCTTGGTTAAGGCCTCATCCATGCATTCCTGCGACGAAACCACCCGCGAGATCAGAAATGGGCTGCTTATTCTCTTAATACAAGCAAACTTTAAACTAGCGAAATCAAAGCCAATAATTTGGTGATCAAAGATTCAATCGGTAACAAGCAGAAAGTATCAAATGCAATTAAGAAATTCATCAGATGATCAAAATGCAAAAAAGAAAAAAAAAATAGAAGCGAGCTATAGATTACAGATAGGCACTAGTAGACCCAGCCCTAACTAGTAGACCCAGCCCTAGCAGGATTTAGAAATACGGTTACACCTCTTTCCCTAAAACAAAACTTAATCGCATCATCAACATATACAAATTGCGGAACCCGATATTAAACGGAAATATAGATTACAGATAGGCACTAGTAGACCCCAGCCCTAGCAGGATTCAGAAATATGGTTACACCTCTCTCCTAAATCAAAACTTAATCGCATCATCAAAATATACAAATTGGGGAACCCAATATTAATCAGTGACAGAGAAACAAGTCCATCCAAAAGGATATATTCAATGGAAAAGGAATCTCTTTCATCTTTTTTTTTTTGTATTTTTAAGAAGGTGACATTACACTAATATATTTATAATTAATTGCAAAAACTCACGAGAAGTGAGTAAAGGCAGCCCACAAGACGGGCAATGGAAGATCAAATCACAGAAACTAAATAACCAACATACGTTAACTGATCAAAAAGAAAATAACTAACAAAAATTTAATACAAAAACTGCAGAGGTCAGTTTATAATTCAAGAAAACAGAGAAAGATAAAACACAATGAACCATGAAATTAGGGTTAATCAGTCCTGAACGGTAAAGGAAGAAAGATAGGGTTTATGAGGGATACCTCGAAAGTGGGGCGGAGAGAGAGAGTAGAGAGGAACTTAGGGCGTGAGAGTACTCGATTGCAAATGCGGTTCCATGGACGACATGTAATGCAGGCCCTCGCAAATGTCTTGGCAGGAAGCCTCCCCAATATGTTATCCCACAACTCTTCCGGCAGGGCCACCACCGTTTCTCTCTCTAACCTTCCAGCCATCCTCTCTCTCCCCCCTCAGTCTGGGTCCTGTGACTGTGTTCTGCCCTTTGGATGGTATCGGTTCCCCGTCTTATTAATGACACTTTTTTATATTTAACCCTGCTCTCTCTCGCTCGGGTAAGCTTCCTCCTGCTTCCCTTTATCCAACCATCCATTCCGAATAGATGGTCCCGATCAAAATGTGATATCTCAACATTATTATTTTTTTAATTTGTTTTACACAAAATATTTTGATACAGAATGTTGAGGGTCCACTCCTCTCTTAAACTCACACAAGAATATATAAAACAAAATTTTAATCAAATAAATTAATTAAAATACCCTCGAAATATTTAAGAAGTATATTAATTATTATATTTTAACGAAAATAAATTATAGTTTTTTAGATGCGCCTTATTGAGAAGATGACCGATACTCAATTTCATATTCATACGATTTATAAAAAAAGTAAAAATAATTTACTCTAAAGCGTCGAATCTAGATCAAACAGTGAGTGGCTCACTTAATCTATATTGGACAGCTGGATGGAAGGGAAGTATAGGGAAATTATAAAAACCTTTTCCCTCTCACTAACTTCTCTCTCTATAATTACATCTTCTCTTTCCAAGTGCATTATTCCATCTTATTTTCTCTCTTTAAACATGTTTTTTCAATCTCTAACCAGGTTGTATGTTTTGTGGACAAGTCATGTTATTAAAAAATCCTTTTCTATGCATGAAAATGCATATGATAATCTGAAATATTTTAGAGTTACTTGTGGTCATTCTACATACATGAAATAGTCACCAATCATTTAAAGATAATCTAGTTGCAATGGTTTTTTTAAAATGTGGGTTTTTATATTAATTTTAACTAAATTATTGCTTGGTTTAAAAAGCGGATCGGTGACCCAGATTGAGCATCTCAAAAACCCACCCAGATCAGCGAATCGGCGATCCGGATCGGGAATCGACTGAATCGGTCGGATTTAACCTTAAAAAAAATTCAAAAAAATTATTAAAATTCATTATAAATATTGTTTTTTAGGAATTCAATAAAAAAAATGAGGGTACTCCATTAAGAATTTTCATTTCTTTGCATGAATATGAGAATATTGATATGTTTGTTCCCTGCATGAACTACTATTTACCATTTAATTTACATCACATAAAAAGATAAATATAGAATTATCATGGATTAAGTATATCATCATACATGAACTACAATAAAACATACAATTCGTAACATACGATTTAAAAATAAAATGACAGACGACGTCATTCTTCATCTTAGTCACACTGATGCCATTGATTGAATTCGCGTGACAATTCATTGACTAGATCTAAAAACGAATCATCCAAATTAGTGGGCACATGACTATACCCAAATCCTTGAGTGTTAGTGTTTTGTTGTGGTCCTAATCCAAATCCCCGAAGCTTGTCTATCCTTCATGCTCACTTACACTATCATGCTCATCCCTACCTTGTTGTTGTTGGAACTCGATATGTGAATAATTTGGTTGGGATTGGGTAGTCTCAGAATCATCATCTCTCTCATTTTCCCTTAGACCCCTTTCCCACTCTGCCTCATTTGGTGCAATATCAGCGACATCTCCGATGAATTGTGGATACGTTGGCGGGCTGCTTCCTCTTTCATACTGCTCATCACCTTCTTCAAGATCTTCCTCACCGATAGCCTCAAGGAACGCTCTCTTGTATAACACTGGCTTCTCTTCTTCTACTACCCATTGTTCTGATGTGTCAGTGACAAATATTGTGTCCAAGTCTATTGGCCCATAGTCTTCAAGCTTCATTCTGATTTGTCACTCTCGGAGGTTTAAGTTGTAATGAATGTAGACTAGTTAATTAAGCTTCTCCGATGCGAGTCAATTATTTCTAGTAGTGTGTAACCATTTGGAACGTACTACAGTTTCGTTCACAGCCAGTAGCAGAACATGTCTAGGATAGCACCTTGATTGCTATCCTCTTTAGGTGAGGTGCATTCACTTTAATTCCTCATGATAATACAGTTTAACAACATGTATTTTTTGCATTAAAATTTTAAAAAATTTAAAATAATTTTTTAATGTAAAATTGCATTAAAAATATAATACAGTTTAACAGTACGTATTTGTTAATGTATTTTTTTGCATTAACAACAAATTAAAAAAATACAGTTTTGCATTAAAAATATAATAACAAGCCACAATTTTTTTACAATGATATTCACTTTAATTCCTCATGATAATACAGTTTAATAACATGTATGTTTTGCATTAAAAAATTCAAAATTTAAAAATACTTTTTTAATGCAAAACTGCATTAAAAATACAATACAGTTTAACAACATGTATTTGTTAATGTATTTTTTTGTATTAACAACAAATTAAAAAATACAGTTTTGCATTAAAAATATAATAACATGCCACGATTCTTTTACAATGATATTCACTTTAATTCATCATGATAATACAGTTTCACAACATGTATTTTTTCTATTAAAAATTTCAAAATACTTTTTTAATGCAAAATTGCATTAAAAATATAATACAGTTTAACAACATGTATTTGTTAATGTATTTTTTTGCATTAACAATAAATTTAAAAATATAATTTTGCATTAAAAATATAATAACATGTATTTTTTTGCATAAATAATCTATCAACATGTAATTTTTTGAACTAGAAATTTAGCAATAAAAATTAAAAATATTGTTTAATTCCTCATGATAATCAAAAACAAATTTTCGGAAAATCATGATTTCTCAAAAAAATTGATCATGAATAAAAAAAAAAAAACCCAATTCTTCACAGACCAACCTAACATCAGTCATTCCAACTCAAAAATCCGCCTCAAATCGAATAAATTACACCAAATTGAATACATGTTTTGATAAATAACACTAAAAGGAATCAAAGCCCTATAATATTAACACATTATTATCAAAATATTAAATAAAATCGATTAAATTGAGGAAAAGAAAAAAACGCAGTTTTTCACAGACATCAGTCATTCAATCGCAAAAATCAATCTCAAATTGAATAAATCAGATAAAATTGAATACATGAGATGATAAACAACACTATAACAAATCAAAATCCTATAAATTCAACACATTCTTTGCGAAATATTTACTGAAATTGAGAAAATGGAGAAAAAAAAAAAAAAACAATCCATTTTTTTTTAACAGACATCACTCTTATTTTCTATAAAATCCAACTCAAATTGAATAAATATAATCAAATTGAATATATGTAATGATAAACAACACTACAACGAATCAAAACCCTATAAATTTAATACATGATTTGTAAAATATTGACTGAATTTGATCGCATGGCGGAAAAAAAAAAAAAACATAGTTCTTATCTGTTCTTCGTGCACCTGTGCCTTCAAACTCAAAATTGATATACATTCCTCCCAGATAATCACAAATTATTAACACAAAATTCTGACCAACACTCTTACAATCACTCAACCTGAAATTTTACAAAAAATGAAGCGTTCTTTCGATTGAAATCATTGAAATGGCGGAAACCCTAAAACTTATTCTTCGATCCAAATTTGTTGATAAAAAACGGTGGTTTTTAATTCGTTTTATTGAGTAAAAATGATGCGAAATTTGAATTAAAGCCTGTAAGATTCGTTCATTAGGCTGAAAAAGTTGAAAATCGATCACAAAATGACAAAAAAAATCGAAATCCCGTGAAGAACACTGTGCAGCCCTTGTTCTTCCAGGTGACTCGGTCTAACTCAGACTAAATCACGAGTCACTATTGGGAATCGCCCGGTTCTCTCTGGACACGGGCGATTCCCGTTTTATGCGTGGAACTGACTCGTTCTGTGGCGATTCTGGAGTCGAACAGGGTGAGTCCGGATGGCTTGGCGATTTTTGAAACCCATCTTAGAACAATTATGATAGTACTATGTTATGTTTCCGCTCAATTTATGTCAAATTTATTGCTAAAATATTGATCTTAAGTAAACTACAACTTTAAGCAGTGCAAATGCAACATTTTTGTGGTAGCATTATGTTGTGTTACTCAGTCAACTTTCGTGAAATTTATTTTAAAGATGTTAACATGAATATAGAATTTATTTAAATTGCACATGTTGTTTGATTTTGGTGTTTAAAAGGGCATGTGGTTTTCATTGGTTAAAAGTTGAAAAACATAAATTCTTTATTGTGGTCATTTTAGACTACATTGTAGGTTTGTTTATAATCAATCTTAGAGGAGTGTAATGTATCGCGTTGACATTTTACTTTACTGCCACTCAACTTGTTTCAAATATATTTTAAAGAAATTAATGTAAGTGTAGGATTTGTTTAAACTGAATACATTGTTTCATCGTATAGCTTAAAGTTGCACAATTTCTTGAGAAAACGTGATTTAAATAAATAACTATATAAATGTACATGCAAGTTGATATTACATATAGCTATATAGCTAAGAAAAAACAATATTTTTGGCTTGTCCCACTTGTATATAACACAATAACCTACTCCAAATATGGTTGTACAGTGTTAAAGACAAGTAATTTATGATACTAAGAAAATAGAATCAGTTGGAAAAGTCATTATTCAATTTCTCACTTATATGTTTATCTTAGACTTTGAGTGGGCAAAGTGGAGATGTGCAACTGGAATTTTATGTGATCGACGTATACCAATGAGGCTGAAGGGCAAGTTCTATAAGACAACAGTGATATCAGCTTTACTCTATGGGGCAAAATGTTGCGCAGATAAAAATCAATATACCCATAGAATTAGTATAGCGGATATGAGGATGTTGAGATGAAATGAGTGGTAAGATAAGAAGGGATAAAATTTGAAATTAATCTATTTGAAAGAATTAGGCGTAGCACCAATAGACAATAAAATGTGGGAGAGTAGACTTAGGTAGGCTGGCCATATGTGAAGCCATTCAAGTACAGTACCGGTTAGGAGGTGCGAGTTAGTTCAAGTAGAAGAATTGAAAAGGGCAAGGGGTAGGCCCAAAAAGACATGGTTGAAAGTAATCCGAAAAGATATGGAGACTTATGACCTCACTGAGGCTATGACCTTTAATAGAGCAAAATGGATAACCAAGACTCATGTAGCCG